TGCCCATTTCAAAATTGATTTGTTTTTGCTGTTTCGCCATTGAATTGAGTTCTTCATATAGCCTGCTTATTAAGCCCTTGTCAGACAGTTTGCGAATATTTTATCCCATTCTGTAAGTTGTCTCTGTACTTTGTTGATTGTATCTTTTGTTGTGTAATATTAGCTGGATATAATACCATCTGTCTAATTTTGTTGCCTGTGCCTGGGCAAATATCTTTGCCCAGACCGATGTCCTAAAGCATTTCCCCAATGTTTTCTTCTAGTAGTCTCATAGTTTCAGGTCTTATATATAATCTTTAATTCATTTTGATTTGATTTTTATATATGGTGAGAAATGGGGGTCTACTTTCATTCTTCTGCATATGGTTATCTAGTTTTCCTAGCACTGTTTATTGAAGAGACTGTCCTTGAAAGCAATAAGGGAGGAAAACAATAAGGGAGAAAACCATGAAAATATCCAAAGAAAAACCACTCCAACCAAATGGGATAGTAAATGCAAAGGTTCTGAAATAGGAATATATTTGAAAAACAACAGGAAGCCCATGTGGTAGAAAGGCTGTGAGAGAATAGAGTGGTAGGAGATAAATGGAATGTCTGGTAAGGGCTAGACTAGGCTCTGCCTTAGTAGTCCATAGGAAGGACTTTGGTTGTTTTTCTTTTTTTGAGCCAGGGTCTCGCTCTGTCACCCAGAGTGGAGTGCAGTGGTGTGATCTCAGCTCACTGCAGCCTCATTCTCCCTCAACTTCCCAGGATCACTGGGCTCAAGCAATTCTCCCACCTCATCCTACTGGGTAGCTGGGACTACAGGCATATACCACTATGTCCAGCTAATTTTGTTCATCACTTTGGCTTATATTTTATAGAAATCACTGAAAAATTTTGAGTAGGAGACTGATATAATTAACATTTAAATATTTCTTTTTAAAAGGATCACTCTGGCTGTTGTGTAATGTGATTGTAAAAAGGCATCAATTATTTTTTCACTCTATGTTCAAGCTTTCTCCTCTCTCTCTGCTGTGTTATTACGCTTCCACATTGTTTCATTTATCCAACAAAAGAAAAAAAAATCTCACTAGTTATCACTCTATTTCTCTTCTGCACAGTCACGCTTTTAACCGCATGGTTTATACTGTGTTTACTTCTTCATTCCCTAATTCTCCTCAGCCTACTACAATCTGCCCTCCCCACTCAACTTAACTGCCTTCATAAATGTCAGTAACCTCCACATAGCCAAATGCAACTGGCTTCGCCAGTTGTCATCTTACTAGATTTCTTGGATATCTGGTACTGCTAACTAGTGCTTCCTTCTTGAAGCTCTTTTCTAATGGCTTCTATGATATTACACTCTTTTTCTATCATTTGTTTCTTACCTTGTAGAGTGGTTTTTATTAGTTTCCTTAATGATTTTTCCCTCTCTATGCCTATTCTTTAAAATATTGGTATTCTCCAAGTTCTCTTCCTATGCCTCTCAAATTGCTTAACCTATGTTCTGAATCTCCAGAGGCCAAGTGACTGATCTTCTCTCCTTCCTTCTCCCTCTCTCACTTCTATCCTTCAAATATTCCTTCAACCTATGCACTCTTAACTGGGAGATGTTATTCACATTTAAGGATACAACAAAATCCATTACTTCCATATCTACATTTTCCAATTCAGAACTTTTTCTAGGCCTAGATTCACATTTACAACCATCCATTGGCATTTTCACCTGTAAGCCTCACAGGTAACTGAAAATATTAACTAAAACCTATTTATAGATCTTATTTCCCCACCCCAAATTTGTACCCTCTTATCCATCCTTTGTTTCAGTCATCAGCACCACCATTAATCCAGTAATCTATTCCAGATACCAGGACACCATCTGAGAGGGTACCAGGCCTCAGATGTGGCCTGTATTCAGGTGCCCCTGTTTTCCATTTTGTCTCCTAAATAAACCTTAAATATTTTCCCCAATTCACCTCTAATGCTTAATTTATGTCCTCATTTTGATTGCTTGAAATGATTGCCATTCACTTTTTTAAAAAATTCAGGTATAACATATATGTGCATACATTTAGTATGTATGTATATTAATATATGTTATGTATCATATAACTACATGATTTTATATCAATACATATATTAAAGTGCATAAAGTGCAACTGGATAGTTGCCAGTTATATTGTTTGCTCTTAGAACTTTGCTTAGTATGAAATAGGTTCTTAATTTATATTTGTTGAGCTCAATTTCACATTGCTCTGTATACTATCTATCTCTATCTCACTGTCAGGAAGACTGTTCCAAAGCACATATTAACCCTTCGGTAACTTTTGACTGAAAAACGATATAGTACAAACTACTTAGCCATACTAATCTATCTTTACAGTTTCTTTTCCTGGAACATCCTATCATTCTCTTTGAAGCTATATGATTCCTTGTGGTACATGAAATATATCATACACTCTCTCACTTCTGAGTTTTTCTAAACATATAGTGCTCCTCCTGCTTCTTCCCCAGTTTGCTAAACTCTTCCTAATCTTAGCTCAAGTATGGACTCACATTGAACTTATTACCTGATTCTCACAGACCAAGTGTCTCTTCTCTGTGCTCATGTATTTTCCTATGCTGATGTCTACTGTAGCACATAAAACACTATAGTAATAACTACCATCTTCTTTTCTTTTTTATTCCACTATATAGTAAAATATCTATTTTATGTATGATTTATTTGAACTTTTTAAAGTTTCTTTTTTTTTTTTTTTTGAGACGGAGTCTCGCTCTGTCGCCCAGGCTGGAGTGCAGTGGCGCGATCTCAGCTCACTGCAAGCTCCGCCTCCCGGGTTCCCGCCATTCTCCTGCCTCAGCCTCCCGAGTAGCTGGGACCACAGGCGCCGCCACCTCGCCCGGCTAGTTTTTTGTATTTTTAGTAGAGACGGGGTTTCACCGTGTTAGCCAGGATGGTCTTGATCTCCTGACCTCATGATCCGCCCATCTCGGCCTCCCAAAGTGCTGGGATTACAGGCGTGAGCCACCGCGCCCGGCTAAAGTTTCTTAATGATATAAACGATATTTTATTTATTTCAGTATTCTCAAAACTTCATTAAGGGCCCAGTACTTAGGAGGTACTCAATAAATGTTTCTTAAATAAATCTACCAGAATATTTTGAATTTAACATATAACAACACATATTATACATTTTTTCTTCATCCATTCTTGAGTACTTAACAAATATTAGCTTTGAAAACTAAATGTAAAAAATTTTCCCTTTTCCTTCTTTGGAATATATGCTAATGTGAGCAAAGGCTTCTTTCACAGCAGATAAGGGGTTCAACTCTCAATTGCTTACCAACGGCTAGTGGAAAAATAGGAGCTAACAGGAATTCCTGTTTCGGTCTTATCCAAAAGATATCTTAATACTCCTCTACAAGAAATATAGAATTGTCATGGTTTCTTAATGAATCTAAGAACAACAAACACTGAGTTTTTTGTTTTCTACAAAAGTAGTTATGTCTTAAACCTGAACTGAAAAAAAAAAATTCAAATTCTAAACTTCAGTTCAATAATTTTAGAAAGCCCTCTCTCATACTGTGCGCTCTTTCCTCCTATCCTCCCCTAATGAAGACTTACAGTCCATAAGTATTCATAAGTATTCCATAATGGAGTATTTTTTGTAAACCAAGAGGAGCCTCACAAAGAATAACGATGATTTCTGAAGAATGGAGGGAGTTATGAATGACAGCTAGTTTTATAGATTTATCAACTAGAAAGGAGAAGGAAATTGTGTAGTTCCTGTATTTAAGGAAGAAGTTAATAATTGCATGGCTAGCTGTGGCATTATGATTAGGTTTTTGACCATGGTTCCTAGCTCCTAACTCCCACAACTCTTGTTATAGTCTTTTGTTACAATGTTGCGGTGCTTCAGGCCTTCGAAGCAGGCCTCAGGAAACAGTCTCTCTCTCTCTCTCTAACCTTCTCCTGCCCTGCTCTCACTTGCTGAAGACAGGACTCTAATATTTAGACTATGGGTCATCAGGGGCCAACATATGGCTCAGGCCATTACTTTAGAGGGTGCAAGTGCAAGACCCATGCCTTGGCAAGTTATACACGGTGTTGGGCCTGCAGGTGCACAGAAGTCAAGAATTGAGGTTTGGAAGTACAGGGTGTAGAGGGATAATTTTAAAAGCTGAAACTTTTAGTAAGTCATTAAAGATTTCACTGAAATAGTCTACTTTTAACTATTATAAAAAATGGAAGAGTATTATAAATTAATAACAAATTTTGTTCTTGAATATTTTAAGATTTGAAGTTTTCCTGCCAGCCAAATAACAACGTAAAAACTACCAAAACCAAACAAACGGAGACAGTGATACTTCTAACTTTGTCATAAAACTGTTTTTATAGTTATTTCCTCCTTATTTATTTATTTATTTATTTATTTATTTTTTGAGACAGAGTCTCGCGCTGTCGCCCAGGCTGGAGTACAGTGGCCGGATCTCAGTTCACTGCAAGCTCCGCTTCCCGGGTTTACGTCATTCTCCTGCCTCAGCCTCCCGAGTCGCAGGGACTACAGGCGCCCGCCACTTCGCCCGGCTATTTTTTGTATTTTTTAGTAGAGACGGGGTTTCACCATGTTAGCCAGGATGGTCTCGATGTCCTGACCTCGTGATCCGCCCGTCTCGGCCTCCCAAAGTGCAGGGATTACAGGCTTGAGCCACCGCGCCCGGCCTTTCCTCCTTATTTATAAATACTGATATTTTAAAATTATTTATGGAAGACAACATTCACAATCTTCCACAATCACCTGAAAAGGAGCCCATGAAATCAACTCTTCCTATGGGTAGCAATATTTTTAAAAAAACAACAAACAAAAACCTCAAATTTCATCCATTAACATATACCTGCATTTCTGTAATTATAGCTCTTCAGGACAATTTCTGACAATATAACATTTTTGATGCAAAAGGCTCTAAAATTCCATGTACCAAGATAAAGAATAACTTTCAAAACCAGAACCACACACCTTTTGCTGTAATTCTTTCACTGCAGAATCTCTATCCATGCATGCCTGCCGGAAGGCTTCATATGCTTTATTGAGTTGCTCGCCAATGTTTTTATCCATTCCTCTTTGTCCTGTAGCATCACTATAAAGGATGGAGTAAATGACAGGTCTGCAAAATAATGAGAACAATTTAGATAATTACTAAGTTACATAAATCTCATTTTAAAAATGCACCTTAAAGATAGTTCTATAAGGTTTATCACAAACATTATAGCACCAAATACTAAACATAAGTCTCATCTAAAATCCTGACTAGAAATCTTATGAAACCTTAAGTCCTACAATTTTTAAATATTTTTATTCTAATGTTCAAGGAGCAAGTGGGGCTCCAGTTCAGGAAGATGCTACTTTGAGAATAGTAATCTATAAACTTAACCTAAAAATGAGAAAATCTAAAAGGCCATTTTAAATTCTTTATTATGGAAATGTACAATAGGATCAGCAATGTGGGAAGAGATTTCGTTTTACTAAATGGACTCTTATTCCCACTTACACGGTGAATTCTTGCTACACTGAAATTAGAGCAAAATTAAATAGATAATAAATGTTTGTGGATGGAGTTCACACTGTTGTTATCACAGAGCAATTAAAATGTGTGAAAATGTTCTTATTTTAGCACAAAATCTAGGGAGAGTTGCTGTTGCATTGTACATTAAAAAAGAAAAATTACATCCCTTCAGTCCTACCCCCAATACCTATTAGTTTTCTAACTTCCCTGCTGTTTCTGAATACAGGTGATTTGCTCAGTGGAGGTAATTTGGTTTTATAATCTCAGTTCGCATAACATCTCTTAACGACATTCCTTTGCTCTGAGCAGAAGGCTAACTAATGACTCCGATTCTTCCTGTCCAACTGTAAAAACCACAACACAGGATCTTTCTGTTAATCCTCTAAAAGCCACAGACTAGACAAAGTTCTCTATCAGTTATATTGGGTACCAAGTTATTTCATATTTCTGAAAATTCTTCAAAATTTCAGTCTCTAAACTGTCCTAATATCTTTTGTTACATCTTTAGGCACACTTTTAAAATTTTCACATTTTCAATTGAGATACAATTCATATAGTATAAAATCCACTATTTTAAAGTGTACTGTTTGGTATTTTTTAGAATATTCATTATGTTGTGCAATCATCACCATCATCTAATTCTGGAACATTTTAATCACCCTCCCGAAAACAGTCCATACCTATTAAGTTAGTCCCAATCCTCCTCTTCCCCCATCTCTTGGTAACCGTTAATCTTTTTTTTTGTCTCTATGAATTTGCCTATTTTTGACACTGCATATAAATGGAATAATACAATACAAGCTTTTTGTGTCTGGCTTCTTTCAGAAAGAATAATGTTTCTGAGGTTCATCCATGATGTAGCATGTAACAGTACTTGACTCCTTTTTATGGCTAAATAATATTCCATTGTATGGATATGCAACATGTTGTTTATTCCTCAGTTGATGGACATTTGAGTTGTTTCCACCTTTCGGCTACTATGAATAAGGCTACTGTGCACATCTGTGTATACATTTTTGTGTGAACACGTTTTCAGTATTCTCAGATATACACCTAGAAGTGAAACTGTTGAGTCATATGGTAATTCTATGTTTAACTTTTTGAGGAACTGCCAGTTTCCACAGAAGCTGTACCATTCTACATTTCCACTAGCAATGTATAAGGGTTCCAATTTCTCCACATCCACACCAATACTTCTTATAGTCCATTTAAAAAATTACAGCCATCCTAGTGGGTGTGAAGGGGTACCCTATCAAGGTTTTGATTTCCAGTTCCCTAATAACAAGCATCTTTCCATGAGCTTATTGGCCATTTGTGTATCTCTGGCAATGTATCCATTTAAATCCTCTGTCCACTTGTAGTAAGTGGGTTATTTCTCTTTTTATTGTTAAATTTTTAAAGTTCTTTATATTTTCTAGAAACTAGACTGTTATCCAATACTATTTGTAAGTATTTTCTCCCATTCTGTAGATGTCTTTTTACTTCTTGATAGTGTCCTCTGACACACAATGTCTTTAATTTAAATACAGTTCAATTTATCTATTTTTTCTTTTGTTGTTTGTACTATTGGTGTTATATCTAAGGAACTGTTGCCTAATCCAGGGTCATGAAGATTTTCAACTGTTTCTTTTTAATAAGTTTATAATTTATATTAAAGTCTTTGATCCATAGTGAGTTAATGTTGTATAAGGTGTGAGGTAGGGGTCCAGATTCATTCTTTTGCATGAGGTTAGCCGATTGCCCTGGCACTATTTGTTGAAAGGGTTATTCTTTTCCCACTGAATAGCCTTGGCACCCTTGCCAAAAATCAACTGATCGTAAATCACAATGTTCTTTTAAATACCCACATGCAAGTAATCTTTCAGCCAAAGTCTTTCATTTTAAGATACTAAATACATTTTAAGTAATTTACATTTAAGTAATTTACCTGGAATAAAAACAACTCCACAGTTTTGGATAACAATGTCATCACTTTCTGAAAAACTGAAGAAATGGCAACTCTATGCATTCCACTTAGGAAGTTAGTTTCTACCGCTATCTCTGATAGATGAAAAAGTTGAAATCTTGTTAGGATAATTAACATTGCTAGGATCTCTGCCCAGACATAGACAATATGGAAACATAAGCAATTAGCATTAATAAAAAGCACCCTTTTGAGTATTTTAGACACTGCTTCATTCAAAAACATACTAAGGCTACTTACAAAAAATACATGAGATTAAAAATAAATATGCAAAGAGGAAAGAAAAAGTAAGTATAGGCAGTCACAGGGACTATAATATACTATAATATACTAATACAGAAGTTAGAGGTTTTAAGTAGCTAAGTGGCTAAGTTAAAAAGCCTTAAAAAGCTGCATGTCATGAAAAATTGTCAGTGTAAACCACACCTGTACTTTTAGATCTGGGACAAATAAGAGCCTTGAACTGGAAATCCAGCTAGTTCCTTGCTTTGCTCTATTACTGACTGACCCTTAGTTAAGGGCCACTAAATCTTTTGGGACCAAAGTTTCCTTTTCTTCAGTACAAAAAGGTGTTTGGACTCAATTTCTAAGAAACTTCCTTGTTCTACAGTTCTTGAGTTTATGAGTTAAAAATGCATGTCTGTTCCATCAACAAGATGCATTCTTGTTTTTAAAAACGTAAATGCAGCACTAAAAATAGCTGCATCGTCTGCAGGTAAATCACGTGGAGCCATCACTTCAGGTTCTTGCATTAGATTATACAAATGTCACTAAGAGAGGAGCTACTGAGTAAATTCCACACAGATGCGTACTATTTCCTGAAATAAGAATGTATACTGAAGAAATAAGTTCCAGGTTGATACAAATAAGTAAATGATACTTTTAATTCCTATTTCACAACCAAGAAGGGAATTAGGTGTTAGATCAGCAACACCGACCAGAGTAAAAGGAAAGTCTCTGGGACTCAGCTAATTAAAATGGACAGATTTCAAATATTAACACCCTGAACTTTAAAGCCACTTGTTTCTTTCTTTATTTTTAGCATTTGTTAAGTATAAAATTAATTTAAGAGGCAGCTACATTTCAATTACATTTCAGTACCCCTTCCGCAATATTTGCCAGACTCCACGAGAATGCTTTATATTTATAGTAAACATGCTCAAACCTAAATCTCATGGTTAGGCTCATTCTCCAAACCCAGGAGACTGCTACAGCAACCTCTCCCTTGAAAACACTCTTGTAGTTAGGGTTTCGCTTTATTTCTGGATTTGGTTTGCTGGTTTCCTTCCATTACATGAGAAAAAAATTCTGAAATCCCAGAAGGTAGCAGGGTTAGCTCAACGCAAATCACCATCCCAATCTCGTCCCCTGCAATTCTTCTGGAGCATGGACACTCTCATCTACCCACTGTTGTCCCTCTAGCAGTAATTCCTTTTTTCCTACCCAGACCAGTGGTTCAGACAAGCAAAACTGAGGGCAGCAGGTTCTTGTCCCACCTATCCAGCCCAGTGATTGACCATGGTGTGCCTGTCCATGAAGAAACACCAGGAAAATCCCTGCTTCCTCTTTCATTGATCCCTTGGTTCAATAATGAAACTGTCCTGGAGTAGGAGAGGCAGCATGAGCAAGAAAGATAATTTTCCCCTCCTTTGGTAAAGCCTCCCAGCCCTAACAAAGCTTTGATTTTAATAAAATATATCCCATTACCCTTCAATTAGAACAAAGTATTTGCTGGCTTATTATGTGTAAGGCACCATATGGGGAACGGCAAGGGATTCAAATATAGTACTATCTTAAAGTTATGTATCTTTCACAAAGTATTTTCACCAATTCTTCATTTCCTATTACATATTAATATTCCTGTTTGACTGATAAGGCTCAGAAGGCTTAAATGACTTATCTATAGCTATAAAGCTGTGTTATGAACTAGATTAAATCTTTAAAATTCTTAGTTCAAGGATTGTTCATTAAAGCCAGCTGCAAAGTGCTCTCCCAAGGTGTTATGGTTAATACGCTTATTTGATAAAATATTTTGTGCCAACTATGAGCAGAAGTGTGCTAGATACCACTGATGCCGTGAGAACAAAACAGACATGAAATCTCCTCCCATGAAGGTACCATTAACTGTAACTTGAAGCATACAGTAGGTGAGTATCTTAAGATATCCAAAAGGCTATAGAGTTTGGAGAGGAAAGTTCATCTATTTATGAAGTTTAGGAAAGGCTTTGAGAGGTAGGTGGTATTTGAATAGGGTTTTGAAATATAGGTGGGAGTGATCTTACCCATTCCTTTTATTTAATTATCAAATGGCAGTCATCCTTTTTCAAACAGGTTTCCCACTGCGATAAGAATGTTTTTAATATTAAATAACATCAATTCTTTACTAAAACAGGCCAGGATTATATGCATTTCTTATGCATTGCTCAGGTTGATTGTCCTGATCAGGATAACCATACAAACCTGAGACAATTCTTAAGCATAACAATGATGGTTACTATAAACATGACAGATCAGGCTAAAGCTTTTCCCATGATGCCTGAAAGCAAGTAGGGGTGGAAATGAAAGAAAAGGCAAGTTCTGCAGCCTTGATTTTCTTTGTTATTAAGACAAAGAGTTTGGATAATAGAGTTTCCTTTAACTTTATAATTATATAGCATTACCAAACAATACAGAGCACAAAAACTTTTGCTCATAAATGATATCATATATTTAAAAAGAGTAGGTGCTTTGTCTTAATTTATGTTACAAATTAAGCCTTGATTGCAAACCAGTTGCTAGGGCATTTCATTTCAGAATGGTGAGAAGCAAGGAGTAAAGTTATATAGAGTGTCCTGGAAGTAAAGAGATGATATGATACTGTAAAAATATGTGATATGAAAAATATGTGATTACAAATAATACTGTGAAAATTACTGTGACTTTTGTTTATTCAATAACGTTTATATATTTCCTCCTAAACACTTCACTGAGAGAAAAAAAAATACAGGCTTTAAATTCAGACCCAAGATCTGCAATTTCCTAGCCATTTACTGAACTCTGAACATCAGTTTGCATATCATACATAGTTTGTAGGGTTACAATAAAAATTGAGACCATATATACAGTAAAAAGTAAAACTTAAGTGAGATCATATACAAAAGACGTTATTTGTTCCTCAATATCCATTCTCCCCTTCTCTTATAGTACTAATACTTCTGATTTTTAGCTCATGTGGTCATGTGACTATGTGCTAGTCATTGGCAAATGGGTGTAACTTCCATAACAAGTTTTTCCTTTCACCTTTTTCTCTTTCCCAGTTGGATGGAATGTTATGGTGACAAGCCACCTAGAACACTGTGATGCAGGCAATACTTGTTTAACTACTGCTTTGTGGGTCTCTAAAGGAGGAACTAACTGAGCTGTATCCTGATTGGTATAATGTTCAAGACTGGTTCAGTGCTGAACACACAGTAGGCACTCCTTTTCTCCCTGGGAAACAGAAAAAGTCATGGTCTTTGCCTTTTTCTCCAATTAAAGCTTATAATTGAGTGAGGCAGACACACATGAAAATAATTAGCCAAAAGGTCAATTACAAATGTTTAAAAAAAAGGTCTGGGCACATCTTCATAGAGGTCTGGGTAGCACAGGTATAAACATTTGTAGGACCTCACCCAATGGTTCACTAGAGATTTACGCATTTCATTCAAACTTTTACCTAAAAAGAAGAAGAAAACTGTTAAGCAAAAGGTATAAACAAGATAAAGGCTCAATAGAAGGAAGAATTAAAATAAGAAGGATTGTGGAAGGCTTCACAGAGGATCTGACACTTAAACCGGCTCCCAAAAGATGGGAAGAGTTTCAACAAGTAGAGAATGAATGGGAAAAGTACATTCATTCTGAAAGAGCAGAGGCCCTGAGGAGTCGTTAGTATGGTGCATTTAGTGATGGGCGTGAGTATTCTGTTTATGCAAGTCTAGCATGTGTGCAGAGATGATACAGAGGTGAGGGTGCCAAAATGAGCTACAGTCAGGGTCAGCACATATGACTGTGCTGTACTACAAAAATCCTAGGGAAGACCATACGTAAAGACCATGATTGGAATGGCATCCCATAGAGCTGTAGAGTACACTGACCACATAAACCACATGCAGCAGACTCAGTTATGGCTAGACTATAGCAGATCCCGAATGTCACTCTAAGAAATTTAGTCCTTAACATGTTGACACAAGGAGTAAGGAGAGGTTTTCAAGGAGATGATAGACATATTTTAGAAAGACAGAACAGATAACAACACAGACTACAAACTAGTGAGGGAGACAAAGTGAGGCTACACCACAGGCAACTATTGCTGTATTCCAGGTAAAAGATGAGGGCTTGAACTAGAGCAGGGGAAATAAAGATGAGTGGATTCAACAGACATTTCAAGAGTAGAATTAACAGGATTTGATGGCCGACTGGATGTGCACAATAGACAAGAGGGCAACAATTCAGGTACCTGTGACTGCAAATCAATTGGCCTGAAATGGGACCTCGGAATCTACATTCTAACTAGCACAGTGCCTCAGGTGATTTTGTTGCAGATGGTTCACCAGCCATTATTTTTCAAAACACCCAGTAGAAAGTGGTGATAGCCAGACATAAAGAGACAGAAACAAAATATTCAGGAGAAGGAAGATACTGAATCCAATTTTGGACAACAGTGCTAGAAAAGACATCATAATAAAGAGGAAAAAAGCAACAACTGTATAATTATCTATAGGAAAAAATGAAGACTAACTATGCCTTCCCTATTGTTTGTATTCTTGAAGACTTGTTTTTAATATCCCCTGATACTAGTACATCCTTGGATGGCCAATTAGGCCAAAATCGTTTTACCAAAAAAAAAAAAAAAGAAAAAAAAAGAAAAAAACTACATTTTTGAAAAGAAAACAATAGAGAAAAGCACTACGCATTATTGCACCACCTTATAGCACAAGATGTACATGTTTTTCCTATCAAATATAAACCAAAAAAGAGGACAGGCCCACTTATTATTTATTTGAAGGAGGTCAGAAGGAAAACTAGAAAATGCATAAAATAGTGTATGACACTTAATGTCTGTTATTTTATGTAAAAAGACTATTAATAAAAGATGTAGAAATGTTATCTAATGCTCTGCTTTGTTAACATTTATACGCTGTTAAATAACAGGAAAAACAATTCTGGCAGAGTATTTGATGCAAGATTTTCCTTAAGTATCTTCTACTCTACCAGATTTATAAATAAATAATAAGGTAGTACTAATGATTTTTCAAAAGAGTGGTAGAGTTTGTAT